TGAGATCTGTGCTAGTCATTCTGACGAACTCCGCACCCTCAGCAATGAGAGAGGAGCACAGCAGGTATGCGTCTCTCTTTTGATACATGATGGTGGGACATATATATAGACATAATATGCATTCAGCCGGTCATTAGCGCAAAACAAACCCTGACAGAGTGATCAGGACACTGACATGAATGTATGAACTGACGGTTCATTACCTGCTTATTACACAGTTACTTATCATATAGTATTGCTTTTAGCTGAAATTGTTTTATTTCAAAAGATGAAAGAAATGCAGTCTTCAGAGACACAAAACTAGCATGGCTACAATATTCCCTCTAAGCTACTGCGCAGAAGAAATAATATGCCATGCACAGGACACACACAAACCGCTATAGAGTTGGCACGCTATAGATTAAGAACCTGTGAATGCAGTTTATGGTTTCATAGAAAGAGTAGCATGTGCACACAAACAGGTGTAGTAGTGTGCAAACTCTACTACATAGGGATGTTTGGATAACTATATAGTTCACGTTCATGTTTTTAAAAAATATTTAGCTTACAGATCTCATTATAAACGCTTTGTTTTCTATACTATTCGGTCAGTTTAAATGCTTCGATTTGTTTTTATTATATTATATTTAGTGCTGTCAAACAATTAATCACATCCATTATAAAAGTTTTTATTTACATAATATATGTGTGTACTGTGTATATTTATTATGTATATATAAATGCACATACATGTAAATATTTAAGAAAAATTGTATGTTTATATATTAAATATATTTATCAATAAATATAAATATATACATGTAAATATTTTTTAAATATATACTATATGTGTGTATTTTTGCCATTAATGTCTAAACCACTGGCCATAAAAATAAGTACACCCCTAAGTGAAAATGTCCAAATTAACCAAAGTGTCAATATTTTGTGCGCCCACCATTATTTTCCAGCACTGCCTTAACCCTCTTGGACATGTAGTTCACCAGAGCTTCACAGGTTGTCAATGGAGTCCTCTTCCACTCCTCCATGATGACATCACGGAACTGGTGGATGTTAGAGACCTTGCGCTCCTCCACCTTCCGTTTGAGGATGCCCCTCAGATGCTCAGTAGGGTTTAGGTCCCCCTTTAACCTCTGCAGCAATGCTGGCAGCACTCATACGTCTATTTCCCAAACACAACCTCTGGATATGATGCTGAGCACGTGCACTCAACTTTTTTGGTCGACCATGGCGAGGCCTGTTCTGAGTGGAACCTGTCTTGTTAAACCACTGTATGGTCTTGGCCACCATGCTGCAGCTCAGTTTCAGGGTCTTGGCAATCTTCTTATAGCCTATGCCATCTTTATGTAGAGCAACAATTCTTTTTTTCAGATCCTCAGAGAGTTTTTTTTGCCATGAGGTGCCATGTTGAACTTCCAGTGAACAGTATGAGAGAGTGAGAGCGATAACACCTAATTTAACACACCTGCTCCCCATTCACACCTGAGACCTTGTAACACTAATGAGTCACATGACACCGGGGAGAGAAAATGGCTAATTGGGCCCAATTTGGACATTTTCACTTAGGAGTGTACTCACTTTGGCCAGCGGTTTAGACATTAATGGCTGTGTGTTGAGTTATTTTGAGGGGACAGCAAATTTACACTGTTATACAAGCTGTACACTCACTACTTTACATTGTAGCAAAGTGTCATTTCTTCAGTGTTGTCACATGAAAAGATAATAAAATATTTACAAAAATGTGAGGGTTGTACTCACTTCTGTGAGATAGTCTGTGTGTGTGTGTGTGTGTGTGTGTGTGTGTGTGTGTATATATATATATACACATACACACACAGTACACACACATCATGTAAACAATTTTTTTTATTTTACGTGTGATTAATCGTGATTAATCATTTGACAGCACTAATTATATTATATAAACCTAATAATTGACCTCAAAAAGGGATAATTTTCATATTATATTATTATAGGCCTATTATTGTAATATAAAGAACTGTTCTACATGATTAAAAAAAAAGGGATTAGAGGGAACATTGCATGGCTATATAGTGAAGCAGTTACCAGGGACAATAAAACTAGCATAGCCATATACCATAGTAAATTGGTTACCAGAGATAATCTTCAAATATATATAGCGGTCATTAAACAAATATTTGTGTGACCACAGAATGTTTCGATTGGCCAGTCAGAATCACGTATTCCAAAGAGCTGTGTGATAAAAAATAATTGAAAACAATTATAATTAAATTTAAATTTAGGATTCCAGTTTTAATAGCTGAATATTAGCTTCACTCATTAATGATTTACTGCATAAGAATTTTTTAAAAAATATTTTAATTAGGGCTGCACGATAAATCGCATGCAATATTTAACGCGCATCTTATCAGTAAAGCCGGTTCTGTAATCAGCGGTAAATCTCCATCACGTGCGTGCTTTCACATTGAGCAGCATTAACTACACAGAGCCGTTGTTCACTGACGAGCTGCACAAAACCACGTTCATATTCGCATTTTTTTGCGCAGCTTGTCAGTGAACAACCAGAGGATCAGAAAATGACTGTCGGCATCACAAGATTACCTCACAGGTGACCTTGAGAAAACGAGACAAAAAAATGCATTTCCTTTGGCTTTGCTGTGCCATTTTTTAACCCAGCAGGTGAAGATTATAATGCAATCATTGTTTGTTGGCTCTTTCTGTTCTTCACAGCACGTGCTGAAAAAGCTGCTGGCCATCACTGAGCTCCTCCAGCAGAAACAGGCGCACTATGCCATGTCCAACAGCAACAGGTAGTTCCTCCTCTGTCATTTTGTCTGTCAGTTTGTCTCCGTCTCCATGGAGTAGCCAATGGGACCCCAGCATGCTCCACCCTCATCCCCATGCAAACTCCCACCCTCCCCATATCTTCCATCCTACCTTTTCCTCCACCTCATTGTCTGTGCCACGAGAACTATGCAAACTACAGCAGAAAACAAAACGGCTGGACTGCCAAGTCCAACACCAATGACTTTCTAATCACACGACCAGATCGTTCGGTTTGACTGCTCTCCGTATCTTGGGTACATATCAATCTAACAAGACGGGTCGAACGAATGACCCATCAAGTCGACAGAATGATGTTTTTTAAATACAGGTTGCCAAAGTGTATCTCTTCATCTGCTTGATCTGAAACTGAACCGACACAAGGCCGCAACGATTCTTCTCTATAACTGGATTATGAGCTAAAATGCTTTTTATACTGTAATTTGTAACTGATTTACATGGCTATGAATATGAAAAATGTGCTCAGACTAGTGTTCTTTGTCCTTTTCCCTGTTCCATTTAGTTAGACTGGATTTAGTTTTTCTTTTTATCATCCTCAGAGAGTATGATTATTTTATATCAAAACAATAAATTCTCTTGCTGGAATCATGAGTATATAATTTGAGGTAACCTGATTTGTTTTCCATATTGTACAATATGTTTGATTGGTTCAGTCTTCCCTGAGACAAATTCAAAGCCAGACATGTTCTCAGGAGAAAAGTTTAAGGTAAAAAAATGTTTACAGCAGTAAAATCTATAATAGTAAAGATTGTATCAGGAATGCATGCACTTATTAAACATGTTTTATAAAGTACTGACTGTCTCAGATCAGCTCGTGAAAACAGCTTTTGAAAATAAGACGGCTGTTGTGCTCCTCTAAAAATATTCTAGTGTTTGTCTCTGTTTTCAGTTCTTGATTTTGAATAAAGAACCATTATTATGGTTATCAACAGCATCTGTGATGTGTCACTTGAGCATAACCCAGAACATCCCTTTAACCCCGCTTTTCTGTAGGGAGACTGACCCTGTAATCTAATGTGTACTGTAAGACATCTGTTGAATGATTACTTGAAGGCTGAAAAAAGTGTTACAGCAGTGATTGAAGTTGCTGGTAGTTTATGCTCATCCTGTGGATTTTAACTACCATTCAAAAGCTTGGGGTCGGCAAGATTTTTAATAGCATTTTTGAAAGACATTAATAAAAAATCTAATATTGTGAAATTATAAAAATTTTAAATAACTTCTATTTTAAAATGTAATTTATTTCTGCGTTGACAACTCAATTTTCAGCATCATTGGTCTTCCGTGTCACATGATCCTTCAGAAATCATTCTAATATGCTGATTTGCTGCTCAAGAAACATTTCATTCAGTACGTTTACATGGACAACAATACTCCGATTTTAATACGATTAAGACAATAACGTTACTCCGATTAAGAATCTACCATGTAAACAGATTTTTGCTTACCTTAATCCGGCTAAAGTCATAATCGAAGTAAACACTAATCGAATTCAGACATGTGGAGTATTCCTATTTTAGTCGCATTACTGAAATGCAGTATAGACATGTAAACACCTTAATCACATTATTACCGCTGTGTAGGACTTTTCGGCGCATTTTGCGACAGGATACACACACGGCAGTGGTCAACTATTTGACGGAAAATAAGAGAGCTTCAACACCACCATCATCTGTATGCACGTACAAATAATTAACTGCACTTGAAGCTTTCATAAAATTAAAAATGAAACACCCAAAACTGTACATGGCATTATCACGTAATATATATGTTTATGCGTGAAATTCCGAAGGGGACGTCGGATGGCGTCGTGTGGTGACGTAATGACGTGTGCCATTAATCGATCTATATACTATAACAAGTAAAACGGGACCATGAAAGGAATATTCTAAAAGCAACTCATGTAAACACCATAATATTGTCTTATTTAGAATAAGGTAAATAATTAGATTACTGATGTCCATGTAAACGTAGTCATTATCAGTTGAAAGCAGTTGTGCTGTGTAATATTTATGTGGAACCTGTGATACTTTTTTTCAGGATTCTTTGATGAAAAGGTCAGAAGAACAGTAGAGTCAACAAATCATTTGTAACAAATGTCTTTACTGTCACTTTTGATCAATGTAATGCATCCTTGCTGACAAGCATTTATTTCTTTTTTTTTTAAAAGCTGCGTAAATGCTCCATGCTTGTGGTAATATTGTGTTAATACAATAACCCAACAATTATATTAATAATAAAAAATAAGGGTTTTATTTTCACAGAAGAAAAAGCTTTAGGTGACATTTTGCTGAAATATTTACAATCCAGTTTGAAAAGTGCATCCTCTGTCAGTTATGGCAAGTGTCAAAAAAAATCACTCAACCTGTTCAGAGGATGTTGCCAATTTAAAAGCAATTTCACTGTCACAATGCATCCAAATCCTCATCAGTCCACTCCTGCAAAACAGAAAATCCATAAGCTTCAAGCAGTAGCCAGAGGATGTGCATTTGAGGAACAAATAATCTTCAAATAAACGTACTTCCTCAACCACCATCTGCCTTTTCACGACGTGATCATCATCTTCATATCCATGTTTTCTTTTCCTGAAGGACATGGACAGAGGAAAGCATCTGAACCATAAACTTATCATCTGAAGACTACATTCATTTAATAACTGTCTTTGGTGACCCATCAATCTCACACACATCAAAGCATGTAAACTAGTGCATCAATGTAGCTCAAAACTGTGTAGTTATAGATCAGTTTTTGTCCGTGTCAGGTTGTTGTTTAACCGCAGCCTCAAAATAAATAATTCCATAGACTTTTATAACTGTTGTGAGCTAGAAATCCTGTCTAAATAGAGTGAAGAACAAGCTGAGCTATAGCATGTAGGCATTACAATGCCGTAGCCTTCTGAAAGTGCTTGAAATTTCTTATGGCTTTAACGTACTTCCTCAACCACCATCTGCCTTTTCACGACGTGATCATCATCTTCATATCCATGTTTTCTTTTCCTGAAGGACATGGACAGAGGAAAGCATCCGAACCATAAACTTATCATCTGAAGACTACATTCATTTAATAACTGTCTTTGGTGACCCATCAATCTCACACACATCAAAGCATGTAAACTAGTGCATCAATGTAGCTCAAAACTGTGTAGTTATAGATCAGTTTTTGTCCGTGTCAGGTTGTTGTTTAACCGCAGCCTCAAAAGAAATAATTCCATAGACTTTTATAACTGTTGTGAGCTAGAAATCCTGTCTAAATAGAGTGAAGAACAAGCTGAGCTATAGCATGTAGGCATTACAATGCCGTAGCCTTCTGAAAGTGCTTGAAATTTCTTATGGCTTGGTATTGACCTCCTCAGCTTTGGGAAGCTTGTATGCTTTAACAAGACTTGTTATTCCTATAATGAAAACAGACACAATATCATGGTCTACATAGTAGATTTATATCCTTAATTAACCAATAGCAAAATCTTTGATGACCAAAGTTGCCCTTAACACAGCAAGCTTCCAAATAACTGGTTTGCCCAATAAGTTACTATAATGCACAACAAGAGCAAATCAAAACTTCTGATGTATGGATATGCACTACATTGGTATGTTTTTTTTCTTCTATAGTTTTGAAAGAAGTCACACACCGAGGCTGCAATTATTGAATCAAAAATGGAGCCAAACAGTAATACTTTAAAATAAATTTATTTAATATACTTGATAATGTAATTTACTCCTGTGAAATTTTAGCAGCCATTACTCCAGTCTCACATGAACTGTCAGAGTCTGTTGGCCATTCAAGTCTTTAGATCAAAAGGTTTTTATGGTGATTGGAAATATAATTCAGTCACATTCAGCCGCCTTTAGTCTTCAAAATGGCATTTCATAGCAAAATTGATCTTTTAGGAGATAAACCTCATAAAATAACTTTGAAGTTCCTGGCCACCATTTATCAGATTTACCCACTGAATATCTGAGACCATTTATGACGTTATTCATCTCTTATCTAGTGACATTTTAACAGTTAAAAAAAGAAAAGAAAAATACTTGCGTCTCATAGACTCATACATCTTTGAGAGGGTCTCTTTATCCCCCTTAAGCCCCATGCATTCGGTCAGATATCTGTAAATGTCAAAGAAAATATTTTTTTACGTCCTGCCGTCTCAACTTTTCGAATCTCTGAATGCTGAAGGAGAAACCTACGCCTCCATCTTGAGGCCAGCACGTGCAGCACCGTTAAGGACGGCAGTAAGGGCGATCTGAGATGGAGAAAAGAGGAGTCCAGCATCTGTCATTGCTGCTCTGTTGAGAAAGTCTTCTGCACTCTTTCTCAGCATCTCTGGGTTCTCTAACAATGGGTATCTCGTCTGAGAATACAGAAACCATGCACTTCAATTGACTTAATCTACAGTTAGCACATTTTAAAAATGTTTGAGCAGCCCCAACCAAGGGCATGCATTTGGGGTGGGACTGTCTACAACCAGGCTTTAGACTCACCTTCAGGTCAATCAGGAAGCCCTCCAAGGGCCGATAAGGATTGTGAACCAGATGAAAATTAAGCTGCTGGATAAGCAGCAGCTCGTACTCCAGAATCTGTTCTAGAGCCCTCTCCTGTCCTGCTGGGCTCTCCTGAAGGTTCCCCACAAACTGAGTGCCGGACACATTAAACTCTTCCACTTTACAGGAGAGATACGCACATGTCAACCTGCAAAAGTGGGGCGTGAAGGTCAGAAATGAAAAATCTCTAATAAGCCATGATCTTATAACTCCTTCAGCTCGGTACACTTACATTATCGTCCGAGGGTGATACTCCATCAAAGAGTTGTTCAAATAGAATCTTCGAAAATACATACAAGCTGTGCCCTGAAAAACATATACTGGTTTTAAAATACAAAAAGCCAGAACGGCACACTAGATGATCCCATCTTTAACTGATAAAAGTGGCATTTATTACCACAACAGATTTAGCCATAGCAGGCTTGAATATGGCACAGAAGTCTAGCAATCTCTTCTCATAGTGTCTGAAGAGAGCTTCCTCTTCTTGTTCATCAAGAAACATGGATTCATTTATTCCAGGCTGAAAAACAGATAGATAGATAGATAGATAGATAGATAGAATATTTTGTAGACTTGCATGTAAAATAAGTGTATAAAGAGAATTCCTGCCGTTGTCACTTACCTTCCCACTGGACAAGCCTTTTGAGCAGAACTTCCGATTAGCTTCTAATCTTAATTTATCTAAGGATTCCTCTTTATCGTAAATCCAGAATTTCTTCTGAGAGCTGTTGTGATACATGTTGAATATAAAGCTAGGGACAGAACAATACAACTATGATTAAACACCAGATACGTGCATTTTGACAAACCGCAGCTCTCGTGCACAAGTCCAGTAGGTAGCAGACGAGTTATGATATATATATAATATGACGTTGCACATAATAAAAAGTCTACATATATTTAAGAATTACTAGTATTTAAGTCAGTGCACTGCACTGCCGAGGCAGTTAATGAAGGCGATATTTTTTTTTTTCAGATTTAATTAAAAATAGTTTATCCTAAGGATGAAATATTTCTGTCTCACCCCTCTTGGGCACACTGTGACGCTCCGATTGTGTATCAAGGATGGTCGTACAAATATTAAATGGTTTTAAAAGATTCAACTATTGATCTTTGTTTCAACCACGGTTTCAACAGTAGACATGCGCGAGAACGCGTCGCGTACGAGTCACGCCACCTTTTAGTCGCTTTCGGATGATGTCGATTGTGTTCCCCACTCACGAGTCTGACTCATTTCTGTGAATCGGCTCTTTAGAATAGTTTGTTTTAAAGATCCAGATCATATACAATTCAGCAATTGTTTTACTTCATGCACCGGGGTGTCGAATTTAGTTCAGTTTAGCTCCAACCTTAAGTAAACACACCTGAACCAGCTAATCAAGGTCTCCAGGATTACTAGAAACTTCCAGTCAGGCGTTTTGGAACTTGTTTGGATCTCTGTGGGACAGTGGCCTTCCAGAACCAGAGTATGTGCCAAGGCTTGTCTTCCCACCCACTAAAAGGACCAGTTTGAGCGTTTTATAAAGGTCTTTTTTTCAAATCATATTTTGTTTCTTAATGACTTTTGTTTTTAAGACATGAATAATTGCTGTAATAACAGAATTGGAACAAATACAATTATAAACAGTGAATGATTCGTATTCGTGTTAATAGAACGCTCATATAGTCACGCCATACACACGTTTTAGTTTTATTTGTCAAATGTCAGCACTGCTCGATTAAGTCTGATTCATGTCCGAATCATTCTGACCGAACCGGTTCAACTGATTCACTGAAAAGATCCAACTTAAAAGAATCACCGCCAGAGTTCAAATCCCCATCGCTTCTGAGAGAGCATAAACATGGCCACGAGGAAATATTTCCGCAGATCAATTGAGGAAAGAAAGCGTATACTCGAGAAATATGACCAGCTTCCTCCAATGTCCCAAAGAGCTGCAGCGTGTCTGCTAAACATCTCAGGGCCGCTGCTTTGCATCTGGCTCCGGAAAAGGAATATTAAAAATACCAAGTCTAAGACGCCTCGTGTAACGTTAGAAGCTGCACTCTGGAGGTGGATCGATACTTCTCGTGAGAACGGAATTGCAGTAGATGATTCAACGATTCGTAAAAAAGCGACTCTGGTGGCTACAGAAATGGGCCTCTGTCATTTCAGTGCGAGCACAGAATGGTTGGCACGCTTCAAAACACGGGAGACGGTAATACGAAAGATGTTCCAGGTCGACCGAAAAACGGGAGACGCACCAAAAGAGCCCAAATCCGGTAACGATAACAAAGCGGCGGAGCCTAAAAGCAACCTTACAGCCAAAAAGACGCATCGAATCGAAGCTGCACTGTGGCGATGGATCGATCATTCTCGTGAGAGCGGCATCAGCGTAGATGAATCGACGATTCGTTCAAAAGCGGCTCGGTTGGCCAGGACTGTGGGTTTCCGTAACTTCAGAGCGAACACCGAGTGGTTCAGCCGCTTTAAAACACGAGAAGGAATCGTACGAGCGATGTTCCGGATCGGCCGAAATAATCGATCTTCTGATAATAAGACGGTGGCACAATCGGTTCCAAGGATGGATTTCACATCTACAGAGACGCGACAGCTTGAAGCCGCGCTTTGGAGATGGATCGATCATTCTCGAGAGAACGGGATTATTACAGATCAGATGATTCGTTCAGAAGCGACTCGGTTGGCTAGGATGATGGGCTTCGGTAGCTTTCGCGCAAGCGCAGACTGGCTCAACCGATTTAAAACCCGTGAGAAAGTTGTACGAGAGACGTTCCAGTTCGAACAGTGTTCAGAAAGTCCTCAAAGCGACCAAACCGAGGACAGAAGTGCGTCTGATCAAGTTACCCAACAATCTGACGACGAGAGCATAACGGACCAGTCTAGCGATGAACGCGACGAACTAACGGATCTGGACGTCCCGAAACTCGACCCGGTGGTGGTCACGGCTGAGCTCAACGGTGACTTACACACGGCCACTGTACCCTCACTGTGGCAAATGAAGGAGGCTATGAAAACACTGGCTACCGGGTTACTGTACAGAGGATTCTGCGACTTTAAACTTCTTCATCAATTTGAAAAGGAGGTTAACACTGTTTTGAGAAGATCTGTGGCCCTAGGAGCCCACAACGGCTTTCAAACATACAATTCTGGGACTTAAGTGTGTTTTTAGTAGATTATGTAGTGTAAATATAATCGTGTTTACACGATCATAACGGGACAGGTGCAACACGGGTTCTCTCGGGTGACCACATGGGGGCGCCAATTGCTTGCTATAACACATTCTCATTTGTTTTTACCCAGTTTTTATTTTGCAGCATTAATGTTACATTATGAAGGTGCTCGAGTTGTCCTACGATTTTGGTTTAAATGTTTAAACACTGTTAAATGACTGACTTTATTTTTACGCAAAAAATAAAAGCTTTTGATAAAAATCTGTGGATGACGTTCCTTTTTTTGCCTTTAAAAAAAAACAAAAAAGCCACAGAAGCTTATGAAGCAAGACAGAATAAATTACCAACCTCCTATTTGAGTAGGGCTGTGTAACCTAATTTGCATAAACATGAGTAATTTATGAATAATAAATGTCCTTGTATTCAGCGCGATCCATTAATTTGCATATCACCATGGCACTACAGTTATTTGTCCTGTGTGCTGTGCTACCATGAAGCGATAAGAACCTGCATAAAACCGAATCAAAAGGTGAGTATATATTGCCTTTTTACACTCTCGAGTCTCCTGCTGTTGTTGAGGGGTGATATATGTGCTTTAACCTAAATAACTGGCTTGTTATGCTTTTGAGTGGGCACAGGCTGTTGTGTGCTTGTATGTGGCTACAATCACTATCATGTACTAGTGCTCTATCATTGTGTGAATTGCATAAACATGATGTTTCATTGCATTATTGATGAGATCCAAGCTCTGCCTTATAGGCAGCTGGGAAGATGCAAAAACTGGTGAAGTGATGGATCATGAGATGGTACCTAATATATACATGTTTCTTTGATGGCAGCTTCTCAGACCCCCGGTCAGTGTTTTGTCGTTATCAGGTGGTCTGGTCGAATTAAAATCTCATTTCCACATAGCACGGGTATGGACAGATAGACTGTAAGATTCCCACTTCTGAATCCATCAGAGGTCATTTGCATGATCTGTTTGTCATGCAGCAGCTGATAGCTGCTGTCAGCACTGCCTTCAGCCTGGAAATGCAGGCTTTAGGTAGCCAAGATATTTTACAGTTTGACATTTTGTCTGTATTGGTATTTAATGCAGGTGGAGATGAGTAAGGTGTCAGTGCTTTTATCCTTAAATTGCGAATATATTCTGGCAGATGACTTTAAGCTGATGTCTTTGGGTATTGTTGTTTGAAACAGGTTGGTCAGAAATCAGCTGTGTCTGACACTGTCCACAGTGCCTCAGTTTATCTTTATTTATCTTCTGTCAATATTTCCTCGCTGTAATTTGGACAAATTATGCATACTGATGGTTATGAATAAATCAATGTCCAGGCTTGATAAACTGATGGTGTGGAGAGAGAGGAATGTCTTGTATTACTGTCGCTGTGATGAACAGCTGTCACTGTGTCCCTCGACGCCTGGATATGTAAGGCAAAAAGTCGAAGATTATTGTGCTGAGGCTCCTTGTTGAGGTTTGAGCAAATAATAAACTCGTTATGTTGCATTCAGGCTGAAGTATGTTTTATGCACATATTGAAAGTGTATGTCGGGGCTTTTTTCACAAGTATCAGCTCGGATCATCTTGAAGGAGCAATATCGTGGCATTGGACCTTTATTTCTGTTATATGCAATATGCTCTGAACTGTGAGCATTGCAACACAGAGCCCTTGAAAAATCTTCCAGAGAAATGTACCTGCATAATGTCAGTCAATGTTACCCATCAAAATGATTGTCTATAGGCTACAAGTAATGGCTCATGCATGTTACGAGAACATCCGTTCAGACGTTCCGTTGTGGCCTTTATCAACTTAACACCAGTATACAGACTCTATAAAGAACCCAAACTCACTATGTTCAGTGCAATATGCTGGAAGGTAATATGTACATTTTATTTATGTAAATGTGTAGCCAGTAGCACTTCACCTAGTGCAATAACTTGGACCTCTTTTGTAAAATGTTGTACATATACTAGGGATATTAAAAATGTTAATTTCAGAGATAATCGTTCCTCTTCAGAAGTGTACAGTGTAATTCAATTTTTTAGACAATTTATTATAATTTTTTATTATATAATTGTTTCATTTATCAGTTTTAATATTTTTACATTTAGATAAAGTTAGATAACAGCAAAGGTACATTTATTCATTTTTTTATCAATATGTAATATCCATTTTTGCACCGAAGGGATGCATAAATTCACATTTAAAACATTTTATTTTATTTCTTTGTTTTAATTTAATTTAGACAAAATAGTAAAGAAATCAATGTCTTTTTATAGTTTTTATATTGTACATCCATAATATTTGATTGATCTTCTGTTGAAAAAAAAATCCTCTGAAAGAACCCTTTTTCCAACAGTCAAATTTACTTTTATGTTGACAATGATTAATATTTAGTATTTATTTTTCTTTTGAACTGCTTTTAAACCCAAGTTTTTGGTTTGGGCTTTGTCATATTTGGATGTGTACCAGACACTGGCACTGAACAAAGGCAAGCCCAGGCGTCCACATATCATCTACTCTTTATGCAAAATTAATGCATGCACCCCCATGACAGCATGATTTAATTTCCTCCTTTCATTTTCTGTCGCCCGTTGCCATGGACACCGACGGAGGGCTGTTGTGATATTAGCTGCTACAATATGGACAAGTGCAGCTCTCTCCATGAAGCAAACAGCTACTAAATCACATGACCTCATCAAATCTCTATTCTGCTTGCAGACTGGCTGGCACTGTGCCATGATCAAGGGATGTAATATATTCATAGCTTACTTACAATTTCAGGTTGAAAAACCGTTGACGATTTATGTCAGACATACCCTTCGACTCATTGGAAGTGTTATATTGACAAAACCAAACTATTTTGAAAATGCATTTGTCAGAAACACGACGAATATTCCCGTAACATGTTTTGGAGGATAGCAGGATGCTATTGGCTTGTGGTTCTCATTGCGACAAAGGTGATTGCACTAGACAGGATGCGTCATAACACCATGCACAGTGTTGACTGTGTTGCCACCCAGATCATGTTGCCTGCAATGACCAATTGTGTGTGTTTATGCATGTGTGTGGAAGCGTATTAGTCTGCCAGTGGAGTAATGTATGCCTGTGAATCCAAGTGTGGATATCAAAATGTCTCAGGTTGGCATTGGGCACCCTTCCCCCATCAGTTCCACCCCCTCCACACACACACACCGCAGGTCCCATCCTAACTATATCTCTCTAATTGGGCTCTGTCTAGATTCCTCAGCTTAATATTGCATCCTATTTGCTTCTTGTTTTCAGTGCATTTCCAGCTGTACAATACCACACTACGATGCCGACTTTTGGTTTTAGTTTCAAAACTGGTTACACTAGTTTTTTGTTTCTACCTTTTGTAGAACTGCTTACAGCTGATTAACTTCACAATGAACTAAACCGACACTGAATTGACTTGAGCTAAAAAATCACACTATTGTCTTTACAGCAGTATCTGAATTGTGTCCCTGAGTTTCCATAATTGATTCTGCTAGTTACCTGTGTATCTTTGTAAAGCTGTTTTGACTAAATCTGTATTGTATAAAGCGTTATAGAAATAAAGGTGACTTGATTTGATTGGACAATTCAGTTCTTTGAGTGTAAGATTTTACGGGAGGCTGTAACAAAATAATAATTTATCAGTTTATTTTAACGGAACGGTTCAATAAAACTGAAAATTGTGTCATCATTTGCTCACCCTCATGTCGTTCCAAACCTGAATGACCTTCTTTCTCCTGTGGAGCACACACACACTAATTCAAAATATATTTTGTCTTCCTCAGACGAAAGAAAGTTATAAAGGTTTGGAACAACATGAGGGCAAATAAACGATGCCAGAGTTTTCATTTTTTTAGGTGAACTATGCCATTAAGTGATTAATTTATTACATTGCTTTTTATAAGCAATTAATTATTTTTCCTCACTACTGAAGTGACTAAGAAAATATCCACTCCTGTACCCCAAATCTGAATTCTGACCACTCTCATTCTGACACACTTCTCAATAGCAGTGTGCCCTGTCAATATAGCTGAAGGTGAATAGATAATCAGACAGCAATCAGAAATTGAGATCTGCCATTCAAAGGTTATCTTAGTGTGGATGAAGAAGAGGACGGGCAGCCCGAGAGTGCAAGCATTCATGTGAAAATCCAATCCTTCACAGTACACAGCCCCCGCAAAGCCTGCAGAATGACCCTTTTATCAAAGTGCCATGTCCGTAGCTCTCCAAATAGCCAGTGCGCGCTCAAGGAATAGATGCATGTACAAACCTGGCTGAGTAATGTATGACCTGTCTTCACAATGTTCTGGGTTTCTGACCCTGCTGTGTGTGTGTGTGTGTGTGTGTGTTGTGAGAGTGTGTCTGTATGTTGTCCGTGGTATGTTTTGAAATGGGCTTCTTATGGTCAGGCATACAGAGCATTAAATGTGTTATTTATGTGGCTTTCACATGTGAAAATTTTATTTTCCTGATAGCCTTGAGAGGGTTGAAATGACAGTGTGATAGGGCAAGAAGGGTGTACTGACACCGAGAGATGAAAAATATGCTATTGAAAATGTATTATTGTATTCACAAATCGTTGAAAGTTGTTTCTGGGGGGGGGCAAACGCATTATTGTACAGTAAATAATTTTAAAAGGTGTTGGGACAAACAAAACAAAAAAACACAACATTTGGTTTGTAAGGAAAATATTATGGGCTACTCTAGGACGGATGTCATCAGATAACTGCCAAACTCCAAATCATGATTTGCCATTTCATTGCATTCATGTCAAAGCAGAAAATAAAGGAATTGTAATTAT